TTAGAGTCCATAAATTAACATGTAATCAATTATTCTATCACACATAAAATTTAACATAAGACATCTTTTAATTCACATGTCCTTAAATAAGGTGTTAAGCATATTAAATAGCTTAGCAACTAAACTCCTCAATGCACGGATGCTTTGCTTCCTGTAGCTAAGCTCTGTTTGTTTAATTAGTCATAGTATCTTTTGTAGTATGTAACTTTGTGGTCTATTTCTATTACGAATTAAGCAAATAATATTCTTAAGTAAAACACATGAAAATATATTTGACTCGAGTCCATACATAAAGTGCCAATAATATGTCTAAAGTAACTAATGATCATAATCTGTTTTGGTCCAAACTTTTTCCAAATATGCTCTACCAAATCAATCTTTGAGTGCTATATGCGTCGCGCGGTCTCGGATTCTTGCATCCCTTTGTAGCACCTGGGCAAATACCTACATGTCGTCAAATGTGAATACTGATGATAGGACAATGATACAACACTTCACATGGGATCAAATTAACTGTGTTTTCACCTAGGGTCATGCGCTTGGAGTCATTTCCTCGTGGGGTCACCGATTCGCTCTCTCTCATCATTAATATGACCTGCCACGTCTAAATTTTGTCTATATGACAGGCTTAGCGCCGATCCAAGTTGAAGCATTGAGAGGGGCCTAATGCACCGACAATGCGTGGTGCATTAGGCTAGTCATAGTGGGAGTAACTTAACTAGTAACATAGCGCACTTTAATTTTTTTTTGCTTATGTGGCATATAGTTAATGAGAAATGGTAACATAATATGTTATTCGAACACGCTTCCTAATATACGACTACTATGTTACTTTGCACTATGAAGATAATAATTTAGACTAGTGTCATATGCATGATACTAGTATAAGTTACTCCCCACTATAACCAGCCGAGGAAAGCTGAACAGAGAAATCAAACCCAAGAGCGATCCTTGTCAATCACCGAAACCTGATGAGGTCAAACCTAGCTAACATTCATAAAGCCTCCTTATTGGATAAGGATTGACTCTGTAAGTTTGCATGTTAGTCGTCCGGAAGACATGCATGTACACAAAAACTGGCAGAAGTAGCTTTCAGTAAGATGGATGGAAAACCGCAAAATCACGATAACAGATACTAGCTGACTAAACTTTTCGTCTCTTTGATTTGAAAGCCATGACTTGCAACAGCCAAGAAAAGGACATCCAACCTAGAGGATAACGTTGTTGACAAAGTTTTTAGCCATACAAGCATTTCTCCATTAGGCAAATCCCGCTGACTATTTTTTGTGACGTACAGGCAAATTTCGGACAGGCATTGTGATAAAACTACTAGACTGTGTTTTCCTTTTGCTATTTTGCTTGATAGAAACTGTTGCCCACGCTGTTCCCTCAAGATTAATGGTGTTGCAACTTCAGGGCCTCCATCTATGGTCTATTCTTTCGTCTCATTAGTCCACGCATGCACTTGCTAGCTACCTTCTATTACTCCGTTTCAAATTAGTTGACTTGAATTTATCTAAATACGGATATATCTATACTTGTTTAGTGTCTATATACATTCGTATCTAGATAAATATAGGTCAAGTAATTTGGAACGGAGGGAATAGATCTGTCGGTTAACTTGTTGAACTCACTCACGCGAAAACATTGCAAGGTTTATATGACAGATAGGCAGGTCAGATACTCGATGAAGTCAGACTCCAACGTGCATGCCTGCACAAATATGACCGGGTGGAATAGGACTTTTCCCCCAAGCTGTGCGCCATGCCGAGACCTTCTATTTAAGGCCTAGCTTGTCTCTATTAGCTACAACCAGTCAAGACAAAACAATGTCAATGTCACATGGCCAAACAAGAGCAATGGAAAGCTTGCTGGTGCTTCTCTCCCTTGGAGTCCTCGTCCAGCTCGCTGGCTGCAGCCCTCCGCCGGACCCGGTGATCTGCACGCATGGCACGTCCAACTGCACCATCACCAACACGTATGGCTCCTTCACGGACCGCACCATCTGCCGCGCGGCCAAGGTCACCTACCCGGGGACCGAGCAGGAGCTCGTCGCGGCCGTGGCAGCCGTGGTGTCCACAAAACAGAAGGTGAAGGTGGCCACCAAGCACTCACACAGCATTCCCAAGCTGGCGTACCCCGGCGGCGACGAAGGTACACTCATAAGCACGGCGCGGCTCAACCGGACGGTGTGCATCGACGTCGCGAAACGCCTCATGACGGTGGAGAGCGGCATGCTCCTTCGGGACCTGATCGAGGCTGCTGCCGCGGCGGGGCTGTCCCTGCCTCACTCACCGTACTGGTACGGCCTGACCATCGGGGGCATGTTGGTGACGGGCGCGCACGGGAGCTCGCTGTGGGGAAAGGGAGGCGCCGTGCACGAGTACGTGGTCGGGCTGAGGATCGTAACTCCAGCGCCGGCGAGCCAGGGGTTCGCCGTAGTGAGGGAGCTAGGTTCCGATCACCCAGACCTGGATGCCGTTAAGGTCTCCCTTGGCGTTCTCGGCGTCATCTCTCAGGTAACTCTGACCATGCAGCCGTTGTTCAAGCGGTCGGTGACGATGGTGCAGCGCGACGACTCAGACATGGCGGAGAAGGTGGCCGCGTGGGGCCACCTCCACGAGTTTGGCGACATGACGTGGCTACCGTATCAGGGCAAGGTGATCTACCGCCAGGACGACCGCGTCGACGTCTCGACCCCAGGCAATGGCCTCAATGACTTGCTCCTTTTTCGCGCCAGTCCCACCCGCAGGCTCATCGATGCAAGAGTCGCTGAGGAGAGGCTGCAGGAGAACGGCACCGATACCGCCCGATGCGCGGCGGCGGAACAGCAAGCGGCCGCCTTCGAGCAACGGTCCTATGGTTTCACAAACGATGGCGTCTCTTTCACAAGATACCCAGTGGTGGGGTACCAACACCGCATCCAGGCGTCTGGCACATGCCTCAGTAGCCCAGAGGATGGCCTCCTCACCTCCTGTGCTTGGGACCCGCCCATCCAAGGCTCCTTCTACTACAACTCCGGCTTCAGCGTCGCAGCCTCCAAGGCACGGGCGTTCGTCATTGACATGCAACGTCTCCGCGACCGCAACCCGGACATGTTTTGTGCTGCCCTCGACTCCAAGGTGGGCGTGGTCATGCGGTACGTCAAGGCGTCATCGGCTTACCTTGGTAAAAAGGAAGACTCCGTCGACTTCGACATCGTCTTCTACCGGAGCCACACAAACGGCATGCCACGTGTGCACGCCGACGTGGTGGACGAGATTGAGCAGATGGCGCTGCGCAAGTATGGCGGCCTCCCGCATTGGGGCAAGAACCGGAACTTCGCCTTCGATGGTGCCATCGCAAAGTACCCAAAAGCTCATGAATTCCTTAAAGTGAAAAATAGGTACGACCCCGACGGGCTCTTCTCCAATGAGTGGACTGACCAAGTACTCGATATCAATGGAACTCCCAACGTCATCAAAAAGAGTTGCGCCATCGAAGGACTCTGTGTCTGCTCCAGTGACTTGCATTGTGCTCCGGAGCAGGGCTACTTATGCAAGCCAGGGAAGGTGTACAAGGAGGCTCGAGTCTGCTCGTTCATCACAGATTATTAGAGGTGACTCGCGCTTTGCCACGTTAAGTCTTTTTTATGCAGCCTGTCAGTTGCTTCATTATTGTTGTTTCACCTGAGTTGGACTAGCTTTTAATTACATCAATGATTTGTTTTTGATTCACTTTTATCTGATGAATGTGGAAGCAGTATGTTATGTGTGAGGTGGAGTAAGTTCTTATATGTGTGGTTGTGCTATTCTTATTTTTAACACAGAAAACAACATATGTGTGCCATGTTCACTTAGGAGTTGACCCAAAAGCGATACACAAATTCACTCCCTTCCATATGGGCATACTAGTGACCCCAAAGCCACGATGGAGTGCCATCATTCCTAGGGAGCTTTGAATTTTACTTCCTCCGTTCCGAATTACTTGTTGCATGTATGGATGTATCTAGATGTATTTTAATTCTAGATACATCCATTTCTGTGAAGAGTAATTTGGAACGGAGGAAGTAGAAGATACAAAAACACACATAAATTTCTGGACTCCATTTGCATTTGATATTCACATCGACTCTAAAATTGATGGTCTAAAACATGACCGAAAGTGGAAGATAAAGATACCATAAGAATGATATTCCTTGTGTGGAACATAATGATGTATTTTGTATATGCTATAGATGAAATTGTGGCAACGAGTAAGGAATTTGACTCACAAATCAACATGCAACAAGAAAGTGAGATGCCCATATCGTTTATAATTTGTACATGCGAAAGTAAGAGATGTCAAGGCCCGTTGATTTGAAATTTATTGAAAAGAAGAGAATTGGACAGTCAAATAATTTATTTATTTTTATCATCAAAACTTTATTCCTCAAACAATGGCCATATCGTTTACAATTTGAGGCAAAATATAGTCGAGGCCATTCGAGTTCCAAGACAGTCAAATAATTTTAACATACATGACAATCAAACCGTCCAGCAAAACAAAGAATCACGAACCACACACAATTTCCAAAATACGAAGGGTGTGAGAAAAGCATACAACCGTAGTTGGAATGGTGATCCTTCCCAAAAAAGCATATGTTGTTCGGATATCCATAGTTACAAAATGGAAAATACAGTGAATCAGTTAATTGGTCGTAATCATACCCCCCCCTCCCCCCTAAATCTAATTATCAGTAAATCAAAGAAGTTGATTGTAAGTATGCATTGGAGTGATTTACGATAAAATAGAACCAATAAATTCTAAAATGAATCAAACATGGTGATGTCCTTAAAAAACATAACAAGGAATACCTTTCGAATTGCTCCTAAGAGCGTCAAAACCTAGCAAGAAGATTTGGAGCATAGGAAAATAAGCCAGCAAGAAATATCTAATGAATGTAAATAAAGAATATTGTAGACTACGAAAACTCCGCACTGCCATGTTAAAAAAATTACAGGAGCACCATACCATATGGCAAAATGTTAGAGAATCTATAGCTGGGCTCCTCAAATCCATCTCAAACGTCCGCGGACGCGACCGGTCGATGACCAAACAGGAGAGAGAAGGGAAAAAGTGATCCAACCGAACCCCTCGTATCATCCCTAAACGTCCAGACTGTCCGTGAACCCTCATATTGAGGACAAATGCAGGGAGGATATGAGGGCTCGCGGACGCACCCGGTCAGTCCGTCACGTAGGACGCTGCTCACCCCGGACCACATTTTCTCTTTCTTTCTTTATTCTTTTCTTTCTCTCTCTTCATCTCCATCAATCACATGCACACGACCGGACATATAAGAAAGAAAATGAGGAGTATGGCTGCATAGACGGACAAATATGGGTTCAAAAAGGACACGCCCGGTCACTGACCGTGCGTCGGCGGGCATGGGGCATATTCGTTAAGTCCGGCTGTAGACGCTCTTGGAGGAGTACTAGGACAGTGGAAGTCAACGTTACACATTGGTTGGCCATGTGTCATGAAAACCATAAGTTGCCAAGATCTTCCATCTCTACCTACGTATTACTCTTTGTATCTTCCGCACAAATAGAGACATCCAACATACATTATAGTTTTTTCTCTCAAAAAACACCACATTACGGTTTCTTGGTATTTAGTTCTTTCTATGTAGATACAACCTTTAGTCATATGAATGATGTATTGAAAAGATCAATTTAAGGTGCATATATCCATGGTCATGTAAGTCATGAAGAGAATAATTTCTTGTGCTTTTATTCATGCTCATATAAGTGATGCCATGAAAAAAGTAATTCATGGTGAGGGCTAAAGCACTAACTGGCAGACATATTAGGGGAGGGTTGATTAACACCGAGGCTAGAAACCCAATGAAAGGAACCAAGAGCAACATGTTTATGATGGAGAAACCGGCTTCTAATAGCCACAATGGTAGAGTCTGACGTCACCCATGGATCCCACAACTCCCAGCAGGTTTGGCTGAACCTAGAAGAAAACAAACAAACAAAAACATATCATTGGAAGTGGTAGTTCAAGAATTTACATAGCTGACAGCATTTAGGACCTTCATTCTCAATGAAAACCGATATTTTTAGAAGAAAAGCATCTTACTCTAATCTAGAGCATTGCACTGCAAACATTTAGATTTCCTTCCCTTTTCTCATTTTGTTGGTTTATACGATTCTTGTATTCTTATGACATTTATTATTATTATTAAACTACAGGATAATAATATCATGCTTTTTCCCACCAAAGGAAAAATTAGAGGGTTAAAATGGAGTAGGAAATGATTGAGTCAAGATAAATTGATTGAGTAGGAAAGTCATGCAGACAAGATTGGAAAATGTATTGGGACAATAGAGATGTTTCACGACTATGAAAAGTCAAGCTTGCTAATATGGAAGTATCACGGATGAGAATTCATGGAAGAAGACTTTGAAGCCTGGAGCGTGTCAAAAAGGATCATGTTCTACAAAGACATCGAGCAAAGGATCATGTTCTACAGAGGCATTGAGCAATGCATGATGATGTGCTAGGTTGACATGGTGCGATGTGATACATGGTTGCTGTTAGACAAGTTCAGCTAGTGTCGGACATACAAGATGGATAGCTTGGACAGTCTAGCATATCGACATGCATGACAGTTAAAGTAAAATACGATGGTGATATTGACGACAATGACATAGGAGCGTGATTGACCAACTTCTAGGCATGGCAACACATGGCGCATGCCTGAGGGCTTGTGCGCTTCATCATGGTGAAGACGCAGGGTTGATTTAAGATGGTGTACTGATACGTCTTCAACGTATCTACTTTCTCTCACGCATTTCCTCTTGTTTTGGACTCTAATTTGCATGATTTGAATGAAACTAACCCCGGACTGACGCAGTTTTCAGCAGAACTACCATGGTGTTATTTTTGTGCAGAAATAAAAGTTCTCGGAATGGAATGACACTTTGCAGAAATTTTTTATATAATATATAAGAATTTCTGGAGCGAAGACCTACCGGAGAGGGGCCCCTGGGTGGGCACAACCCACCCGCCCAGGTGGGTTGTACCCACTTGGTGGCCCCGCAGACCTCAACCCTGATACTATAAATCCCTATTTTTGAAGAAAAAAGGGGGAGAAAGAATTATCGTGATCCATGAGACGAAGCCGCCGCCAAGCCATGTTCTTCCTCGGGAGGGCATATCTGGAGTCCGTTTGGGGCTCCGGAGAGGGGGGTCTTCGTTCTTCGTCATCACCAACCCTTCTCCATCGCCAATTCCATGATGCTCCCCACCGGGAGTGAGTAATTCCTTCGTAGGCTCGCTGGTCGGTGAGGAGTTGGATGAGATTCATCATGTAATCGAGTTAGTTTTGTTAGGTCTTGATCCCTAGTATCCACTATGTTCTTAGATTGATGTTGCTATGACTTTGCCATGCTTAATGCTTGACACTTTGGGCCCGGGTGCCATGATTTCAGATCTGAACCGTTTATGTTATCATCATTATATCCATGTTCTAAATCTGATCTTGCAAGTTATAGTCACCTACTACGTGTTATGATCCGGCAACCCCGGAGTGACAACAACTGGGCCCACTCCCGGCGAAGACCGTAGTTTGAGAAGTTCATGTGTTCACTATGTGTTAATGCTTTGTTCCGGTTCTCTATTAAAAGGAGGCCCTAATATCCCTTAGTTTTCAATATGGACCCCGCTGCCACGGGAGGGTAGGACAAAAGATGTCATGCAAGTTCTTTTAATAAAGCATGTATGACTATTTACGAAATACATGCCTATATTATATCGATGAATTGGAGCTAGTGTTGTGTCGCCCTAGGTTATAACTGTCACATGATGAATATCATCCAACAAGTCACCGATCCAATGCCTACAAATATATCTTATATTGTTTCTGCTAAGTTACTACTGCTATCATCACTGTTACTGTTACTATTGTTGTTGTCACTACTATCAAAAACTATCATATTACTGTGCTACTGATTCCTTGCTGCAGATAATTAATCTCCAGGTGTGGTTGAATTGACAAGTCAGCTGCTAATACCTTCAAATATTCTTTGGCTCCCCTTGTGTCGAATCTATAAATTTGGGTTGAATACTCTACCCTCGAAAACTGTTGCGATCCCCTATACTTGTGGGTTATCAAGACCTTTTTCTGGCGTCGTTGCCGAGGAGCATAGATATATTTGTTGAGTCACTTGGGATTATTATCATATTATCAGTATGAAGAATCCGAAGGATCCAAATACTAAGATATTTCCCTCAAGGACGAGGGGGGGAAGGAACTGCCATCCAGTTTTGCTTTAGATTCACCTTCTGTTATGAGTAAACTTGCAACACCACAACATGCTATTAATTCTGATATGTTGCAAGTTATTGATGATGCTACTTCTACTATGAATGATGCTTATGATGATGCTAGTACCTTACTTGATAATGATGATGTGCCACTTGGTGAATTTCTTGATAAACAAATTGCTAGAGTTATACAACATGATGTTGTTGAATCTGATGATGAGCTTGAAACTGAAACTCCTGAAACACCTACTAGAACTAGCCCTCTAGATATGAATTGCCTAAGGTATCGGAAGGTTAT